CAGAGTCCTGGATGAAACCCCACGGCAGGCTCCCTGTTCAGCTGGGAGCCTGCTTCTCCCTCTCCTTCTGCCTGTCCCTCTGCTTGTGCTCTGTCTTTCCCTCTCAAATGAATAAAGAAAATCTTAAAAAAAGAAAAAAAAAAAAAAAGAAGAAAGAGAGCTGTCAACATAAAACTGGGAATGCCTGAATTTAGGTAAAGGAACCACAGGAAGTGAGGGCAGAAGAGCATTACGGAACTACAATTTTATTTTTTTAAAAAAGGGTATGAATAAATACCACCACTGCCACCCCCTGCCATGACAACGCTAACAGACACAAAAAAATCAAACAGCTGACACTACATAATTGCTTCTAAGTAATCCTCATCTTTTTTTTTTTTTTTAAGATTTTATTTATTTGTTTGACAGAGAGAGAGAGAGAGAGAGCACAAGCAGGCAGAGAGGCAGGCAGAGGCAGAGAGAGAAGCAGGCTCCCCACTGAGCAAGGAGCCCAATGCGGGGCTCGATCCCAGGACCCTGAGATCATGACCTGAGCTGAAGGCAGCGGCTTAACCCACTGAGCCACCCAGGCGCCCCATAAGTAATCCTCATCTTAAAAAGAAAATTAGTACTGTTGGGATGCCTGGGTGGCTCAGTCAGTTAAGAGACCAACTCGTGATTTCAGCCCAGGTCATGATCTCATGGGTTGTGGGACTGAGCCCTGCGTGGGGTTCTGTGCTCAGCAGGAGGCTGCTTGAAGATTCTGCCTCCCCCCATTCTCACTCAAAATAAATAAGTAAAATCTTAAAAAAAAAAAAAAAAAAATCAGCATTGTTATATGTGTAGAATACAAAAAAAGAAAGGTAAAGACTGGGTGTTTGGACCAATGTCAAACATTGCAAAAAGGTTTATTTACCTACGTCTGCTAAAGTAGAAACTACTAAGATAACACAGATTTCAACCTTGGGGAATTTAGTCTCATTCACTGCTTTCCAAGTTGAGCTAATCACTGCATTATATAGGAAGGTTTTTAAAAATATGGCCCCAGGATGATTTAGTAGGTCTGGGGTGGCTCATGATACAGCGCATGACTGTGGAATCACCATTCAACTGTTTTTCAACAAGTCCTCTGCCACCAGTTCCTAAATGGTTTGACTATCACTGAGAACTTCTGAGAGCAATGACTCCACTTAATCTGAACTCAAGTAATTCTTTAAAAAAAAAATATCTATATCTATATATATAGATATATATCTAGACATATATCTATATATATATAAAAATATATCTATATATGTATATCTAGATATCTATATATCTAAATATATATATATAGATATATATTTTTTTAGAAAGCGAGGGTGGTGGGGGAGGGGTAGAGGGGAAGAGAAAAGAGACTTCCATGCAGAGCCCAAGGTGGGGCTCTATAGATTACAACTTGAGCAGAAACCAAGAGTTGGATGATTAACCAACTGCCACCAAGGCACCCTGATCGATTCTGATCGATCAGCTGAACATGGGAACTCCTGGTCATGAATGACAAAGCTTTCAACTCTACACTTCTGGGCATCTATTAGGAGTTTTGTAAACATCATTAGGGCAGACTTCCTCATTTTTTAATGCCATTGTGAAGGTAGTAACCTCTGAGTTATTAGTAAAATTTGCATCAAATTTCTATTACTTGTTGAGCTGAAACATAGCCACATTCTGCAAGATCTTGAATTCTGAAGAAATTTGGTTATTTAGCATATAATACCATTTTAAAAAAAAGATTTTATTTGACAGAGATCACAAGTAGGCAGAGAGGCAGGCAGAGAGAGAGGGAGAAGCAGGCTCCCTGCTGAGCAGAGAGCCCGATGCAGGGGTCGATCCCAGGACCCTGAGATCATGACCTGAGCCGAAGGCAGAGGCTTTAACCCACTGAGCCACCCAGGTGCCCCTGTAATACCGTTTTTAAAATGCTATTCTGAATGGTGAGGCAATTTTATAAAAGAAAACTCAATATCCCAACAGGTACACTGGTCTTGATAAAATCCTGTATTATTTAAATTCACCTTCATCTCTGCATTGTCACTTCCTCCTGGAAGCCTTTCATGATACCCTAAGTTGAGGTGATTTTTCCTTCCCCTGATCACTTGATCATTTGATCTGTGCCACTCTTAGGATAATTATTTTTTACTGTAATACAGCAGCCCACCCACCCATGGTTTCAGTTACCCATGGTCAACCACAATCCCTCCGGAAGTAGATGATCTTCCTTCTGACTTATCATCAGGTCAGTAGCCGCCTAATACTTCATCACTAAGCCCATGTCATTCACCTCACTTCATTTCATCACACAGGCATTTTTCTCAACAACATCACAAGGGTGAGTACACAGTGAGAGATTCTGACAGCAAGAGACCACAATCAGATAGCTTTTATTATGCTATATTACTATAAACACTGTTTTACTATTACCCTCTTATGTGTCTAATTTACAAGTGAGGCTTTATCGCAGCTATGTATATATGGGAAAAAAGCAACACAATATAGAGTTCAGCACTATCCACAGATTCAGGCATCCACTGGGGATCCTCAACCATATTCCCTAAACTAAAGGGGGGTGGTATGTACCATACTATAGACACAAAAAATCAAGGCAGGGAAGGTGTCTATCTAAATTTGCACACCCTGACATGTGGCACCTAGCAGACCCTAAATAAATGGGGTAAATTAAGTACTATTTTATCTTGTTAGAGGTAAGCTTTTCATGTGTAAGACCTATCCTACAAGTGATTAATCTCTCACTACGCATAATTCCCTTATATAAAAACCATCCCACCTTCAGGTGTTAGTTGATGTTTTGTAAGATTTTATTTATTTATTTGACAGAGATCACACATAGGCAGAGAGGCAGAGAGAGAGGGGGAAGCAGGTCCCCGGCTAAGCAATGCCGGGCGTGGCGGGGTGTGTGTGTGTGTCCATCCCAGGTCCCTGGGATCATGACCTGAGCAGAAGGCAGAGGCTCAAACCACTGAGCCACCTAGGCACCCCTCAGGTGTTAGTTCTAAACACCCTAAGTATCTCTGTAAAACTGCTCTTGGCACGTCACTGTAACTATTAGCTTGTATCAGCCTCTTCAACTATGCCTGTGCTCCTTGAAGGCAGGTACCATGTCACATAAATCTTTGTACTAACCAGCTACTACCTCTAGGTTCCAACGTGTTGCTGAAAAAGCTGAACTCATCACAGCATTTTCTTGAAAGCTGACACATTTTACATTATTTCGTCAACTGTAGTTACAACAGACTATTCAATTCGTTATCAGGAAAAGAAAACAAGTTTTCTCTTATCAGGTACATTGCAAAACTATTTTTACATTTTTGTCTTATTTTTTGGGCTAGGAAAAAAGGTCACCAACTGGGTTTTGATCACGTGCTCTCTTTGGGTGACTGGAGGAAAACAGGGAAAATCAACGTGAGAAATCTACACCGAGGACACAACAAGATAACGTTCAAAAGGTTCACATCACCTGGTTACATCTGGAAGCCACTGCGCAGTTAGGCTAGGCCACTCCAGGGCATGGGTCATCACCAAATCGTAAAGAAAAGGGGTGTTCTTCTTCCATATTTTGTACTCTTCGTTGATCACACGTTCTTCTACTGCGTCATCAAACGCTGCTAAAAGTTAAAAACAAATTAAGTTAGCGAACACAAAGGGAAACCGAGTCAACACTTCCAAAGCTACCGGCACTGCTCGAGTCCAGATTCTGAAATGGAGGAGGTATGTGGAATTCTCCTCGCGGCGGAGGTACCCACACCGCTCTCCACCCGAGCGGGCCCGCAACTACTCTCTCGGGTTAGCCAGGCCCGTTACTCCGTTAGCCGTTCGCGCGACGGCGCCGGGTCTCATGAGCACGCTCCGGTTCCCGCCGAGTCTACGGAACCGGCGCGGGCCTCCCCGGCCCCTGGGGTAGCGAACCGCTCAGGCAGAACCGGGAGAGGCGGGCAGACGGACAGGGAGCGCGGAGAGATACCAAACATCGGCCGGGCCCGGGCTCCCCCCGCCCCAGCTCCACGCCGCGGGGACCGGCCTCCGCGCCGGAGAAACTGGCGCGCCGTTAGCCCGCCCCGCGGGGCGATTTCTCCTCACGCCTTCGATGGTGGGGACAGCACTCAAGAGTCGGGCTTGTAGTCACTGCTAGGCCCTGTCGAGGTCGCGGCGCCAGCCCGGCACCCCCCGCCCTCCTGGGGCGGCCCCAGCACCCTCACCTTCCTTGTCGGCCATGGCGGGCAGGCAAGCCGGGGGATATCCCGGGGTCGAGCGTTGCGGGAGGGGCGGGGAGGCTACGGGCGCTAGCTCTGCGCGCGCGGCCTCTATTGTTTCCTGCTGCCCCTGCGTGAGGGCTGACTCGCGCACCTTCGCGCCAACACTGGCCAATCGGAGCGTCCCGAATGGTAGAGTGGGCGGGGAATCCGCGTTCGCAGCCTATCCAGACACGCAGAATCGCTTTCTGCGGATCTGAGGCGGGCGCCCCTCCCCTGCCCCCACACGGCCGGGAGCCGACTTCCTTCGATTGCGCGCGCGCGGAGCCGGTGGGAGTGCGACCGCCGGGTCACGTGACAGGTTTAGTCCGCATTCTCCAGGGGGCAGCCATTTTCTTTAGGCTTTTCATCTCCAGATACTGTCAAAGTGCTCAGATGAGAAATATAGAATGCTTTTGAGTCTAGCTAACAACCCCGGGAGTAAGGCGGAAAGAAAAGGCTTCTAAACACTCAGAAACAGGGTGTCTAGTTCAAGTCTCTCCATACTCCCAGGTCTTCCAATTTCTTTTTCCTTAGTTCTTAGGACGGACGAAGCAAACACAGAAAATAGGGCCTAAGCCTATTAAAGATGTGCTCCCAGTGGCGGGCCGTAGGATAGAAGTCTTAGGGTATAAAGTACATCTGAGAGAATGGAGTCCTGGTCCTTTAAGGGGGCGTGCCAAGGGGGGGCGGAGTCTAGGGCGGAAGTTATAAATTAGGGCCGAAGTCCGGCCAATGAAGGGCGGAAGTAGAGTGTCCAGTGCTGCAATTATGGCGCAGGAAGAGGAAGATATTCGAGATTACAATTTGACTGAAGAGCAGAAGGCGATCAAGGCCAAATATCCCCCAGTCATTCGGAAGTACGAGTGTGAGTAGGTGGCTCACTTCTGTCATCCCCTGTCTCCTTGCTCAGGTCTTCCGGCCTAGCCACCCGTTTTACCTCACAGGGTGCTTCAGGCTTGATGCCGTTTCGCCCTGTATTGTAGGTCCTTGTCGGGGGGATGCTGAGGAAAAAAGCCAAATAGTCTGAGAGTCGGGAACCTGGGCTGCCACATTTACAGTCTCTTGAACTCTTTCCACATTTACCTAGTCACATTACCTTGTGGGAATTTTACCAGCGTATTCGTTCTAAAGACAACAGTATTTTCAAGCGTTTGCCGGGTTGTCGCTGGTAGGTATCTCCAGCTGTGGGGTGATGAGAGTGTGGTTACGTTAGAGGTCTTAGAAAGTTGAGTAGGAAACTTACAACTTGGTGGTGTTTTACCTGGATTGTGTTTTTAGCAAAAAGATCTGTTTTTGCCATGAACAGCTTAGTAATTTAAGGCAAATACATAACCTCTCTTTGCACCTTAGTTCCTTCATCTGAGGAGTAAATGAGATAACAAACTTGAAAGTATAGTGCAGATTCCTTTTTTTAAAGATTTAATTTATCTGACACACAGAGAGAGATCACAAGTAGGCAGAAGGCAGGCAGAGAGAAGGAAGCTGGCTCCCTGCTGAGCAGAGAGCCTGAAGTGGGGATGGATCCCAGGACCCTGAGACCATGACCTGAGCTGAAGGCAGAGCCTTAACCTGGTGAGCCAGCCAGGCACCCCTATAGTGCAGATTCTGATCTTCTATATAAACGTTTAGCTATCCTCCCTAAAGGTTGCTATGGTTTGGGGAGCACAAATATGACTTTTATTTTTCTGTCCTATTTTATTTTAATAAAGATTCTATTTATTATTTGACAGAGATGGTGATAGAGGGAACACAAGCAGGGGAGTGGGAGAAGGAGAGGGAGAAGCAGGCTTCCAAAGAGCAGGAAGCCTGATGCAGGACTAGATCATAGGACCCTGAGATCATGACTTGAACCGAAGGTAGAGGCTTAACCAACTGAGCCACCCCAGTGCCTCTGTAGAGTTTAGTTACCATGGCATACTGGGTTCTGAACCCACATATCTCCCTAGCTCATTTTTCTCTTAAAAATAGTTTCTTTAAAGATTTTATTTATTAGAGAGAGAGAGAGAGAGAGCGCTTGCGTGAGCGGGAAGGGGGTGGGCAGAGGGAAATGGAGAAGCGTACTCCCCACTGAGCAGGGAGCCCTACTGGGGGCTCCATCCCATTACCTGAGCTAAAAGCAGCGACTAACCAACTTAGCCACCTAGGCACCCCTTGAAAACAGTATTTAAAAATTACTTTTAATAAATCTCGTATCTGATGCAAAGAGTATAACAGGTATGCAGTGTGTAAGTCTTTCTTTCAGCCCTGATCCCCAGCCATCTAGTCTTAACTCTCCATGTCAATGTCAACAGTCCTTACCATTTTCTTTATGTATACAGGCAAAGCTGTTACAACATTTACTTAATCAATTTCCAGTTGATAGACCTTTATGTTATTTCTATCTAGTCTTTCATTGTTAGAAACAATGAGGCAGGGAATATGCTTGTGCATCTGTTGTTTGCACATGTGCAAGTATATCTGTAAACTTCCAGACGTTACTGCTTTATCAAAGGATATGTACTTTTTTTTTTTTTGGATATGTACATTTTTAATTTTAATGGTTTTTGTTAAATTGATCTCCAGTGAGGTTATGCCAATTTATACTCTCACTGGCATTGTATGAGCATGCCTCTTTCCTCACACTTCTACGCATTTACTGCATAACCATACTTTTTGGTCTGTTCCAATTTAAATATCTTGTCATGTTAGTTGCATTTTTAAAAAAGATTTTATTTATTTATTTGACAGACAGAGATCACAAGTAGGCAGAGAGGCAGGCAGAGAGAGAGGGGGAAGCAGGCTCCCCGCTGAGCAGAGAGCCTGATGCAGGGCTCCATCCAAGGACCCTAAGATCATGGCCTCAGCCGAAGTCAAGAGGCTCAACCCACTGAGCTATCCAGGCACCCCAGCGCTTTTTGTTTGTTTGTTTGTTTTTAATTATAAGTGAGGTTGAACATACTTCTATATGTGTGGAGGTATTTGTATGTCCCCTTCTGGGATGCATATGTTCATATTCTTACCATTTTTTTCTATTGGGTTGTTTTTGTTGTGTGTGTGTGTGTGTGTGTTTAACACTGTAGAAATTTATTTTTATGTAGTGAAATTTATTAACTCTTTTTATGGCTTGTGGGAAGTCATACTTAGGAAGGCTTTGCCCCTCCTGAAAATGTAAAATAATCTCCTGTGTTTTCTCCTAGCACATTTGGAAATGAGAACCTTTTTTTTTTTTTAAAGTAAGCTCTACACCCAGTGTGGGGCTTGAACTCAACGTCCTGAGATTAAGAGTTGCATGCTCTATGAACTGAGCCAGCCAGGTGCCCCTGGAAATAAAAACTTTTATTGAAGTAATAAATGTACTAAGAGTGCATATATCATAAGTGAATGTTCACAAACTGAATACACCTGTATAGCTAGTGACCAGATGGATAAACATTATTATAGCAGTGGCGCCTGGGTGGCTCAGTCATTAAGCGTCTGCCTTCAGTTCAGGTCATGATCCCAGGGTCCTAGGACAGAATGCTGCATTGGGCTCTCTGCTCGGTAAGAGGCCTGCTTCTCCCTTTCCCACTCCCCCTGCTTGTGTTCCTTCTCTCGCTGTGTCTCTCTCTGTCAAATTAATAAATAAAATCTTAAAAAAAAAATTGTAGCATCCCAGCAGCCCATCTCATGCTCCTTTCCAATCACCACCATTCTCCCTATTCCCATTAGCCTGACTTTTTTTTTTAAGTTTTTTTTTTTTTAATTTTTTAAAAATTTTATTTATTTATTTATTTGACACAGAGAGAGAGAGGTCACAAGTAGGCAGAGAGGCAGGCAGAGAGAGAGGGGGAAGCAGCTCCCCGCAGAGCAGAGAGCCCGATACCGGGCTCGATCCCAGGACCCCGGGATCATGACCCAAGCCGAAGGCAGAGGATTAACCCACTGAGCCACCCAGGTGCCCCTAAGATTTTATTTTTAAGTAATTTCTACACCCAACGTGGGACTTGAACTCACAACTCCTAGATCAAGACTTTCACCCTCCACCAGCTGAGCCAGTCTGGAGGCCCCTGCCCCTACTGGCCTGACTTTTAACATCATAGATTAGCTTTGCCTGTTTTTGTACATTATATAGATGGAATTATACAGTATGCATTTCTTTCTGTCTGTCTCTCTATCTCAACATACCCTACGTGGAGCTCAGACTCACAACCCAGAGATCAAGAGTCACATGCTCTATTGACTGAGTCAGCCAGGCACACCCAGTATGTCTTCCTTTGTGTTGGCTTTTTCTTGCTCATATTTGTGAGAACCATATTTTTGCTGATAGTTATAGATTATTCTTGTTTCTAGTATTTTTTTAAACATTTTAAACTTGAATATACCAGAATTAGAGTAAGGTAGAAATTAAGTATCTGATTTAATTGTTTTCCAGATGACCTGACTTTGTTTCTTCAGCGTCTGTCTTTTCTCCTGTGATTGGAATGGGTCATCTTTATTATATCCAGAATTCCCCTACCTATATTTAGGTCTGTAGCTGGACCTAATTGTTCTATTCCTTTGTTCTGTTTTTCTTTTTATGTGCCAGTGCTGTACTTTTAATTATTGAGGCTTTATTCTATCTTTTAGTATCTTGTAGGACACTCTTCCCTCACTATTTGCCCCTTTCCTGCCATCTTTTAATTTTTTTTTTTTTTTTTTTTTGAGAGAGACACCATGGGGGAGGGGCAGAAGCTGAGCATCTAAGATCTTCAGCAGGCTCCACACCCAGTACAGAGCCCAACATGGGGCTTGATCTCACATCTCATGCCCTGAGATCATGACATGAGCCGAAATCAAGACGGGATCCTTAACTGACTGAACCACTCAGGTGCCCCCTGCCCTACTTGCCAATCTTGCTTTTTTTTCTGTATGTAGATAAAACACGAGCTATATATAAATATATACAAAATTAAGGGGATAGTACAATGACGTCCATGTATACATCACTCAGCTTTAGCAATGAAGAACTTGAACTTACATAGCACCTTGACAGGGACAGTAATTTTGTAGAGAAATGACAAGACAACGGAAAAGCACTTTGTAATTGTGGGGCAGCCAATTGCAGGAAGATAAATATATGGGGGAACTAATGGAAGATGAGGGCTAGTTAGGAAACTTTATTATGTAGATTCCTCTGGTGCTGACTCTGGGTGGATAAGGGTCTAGAATTTTCTCTGATGATTAATTTCTTTCCTTGCTGATAGGTGATGGGGAGCACCTTTACAAATTTATGTTTTAGGCATATAGTGGGAAAGGCAGAGAGTTCTTCTTGTATCTTCTCTCATTAGTCTTCTGCTCAAAGTAATCTTTGTGACAGAGTGGCATCCTTTTACCTCCTTTCCTATTATTTATTATTATTTTTTAAATAGGATCCATGCTAGGCCCTGCATTGGGTGTAGAGATTAGTTAAATAAAAACTTTTAAAAAAAACCCCACAGATTAAAAAATTACTGTTGGTATTTTTTTCGTTCATATTAATTATGAATTTAAGGAGAATTGAAACTTTAATATTTATATTAGCTTTTTTCCAGAAATAGGGTATTCAAATCTTATTTTATGTATCCTGAGGTTATTTTTAGGTATTTCATCTTTTTCTTTCTTTCTTTCTTTTTTTTTTTTTTTTTGAGTAATCTGTATGCCCAATGTGGACTCAAACTCATGACCCTGAAGTCAAGATTGCATGCTCTACCAATAGAGCCAGCCAGGCACCCCACATCTTTTTTGTTTCTGATGTAAATATAAATGATCCTTTCTTCATGATATCATCTCTGTCTGTCCTGTTATTGATTATAATTGTGAAAGAGCTATTGAGTTGTATAGTTAATTTTTTATACTGCCTTTTTATTACCTTATAGTTAGTATAATTTT